ACTGGGGTAATCGGGATGGGTGTGTCAGAGGCAGTGCGGTTGGCGCAGGATAGAGCAGGGTTTAGAGCTGTTGTGCATAGGGTCGCTATGAGTCGCAAACAACTCGACGGCACAACACAACAACAACAACATGGATGGGAAGACTCAATATTGTGAAAATGGCAATACTACCAAAGGCAATTTACACATTCAATGCAATCCCAATACAAATACCACTCCCATTCTTCAATGAGATGAAAAAGGCAATCTCCAGTTTCATCTGGAATGGAAAGAAGCCCTGAATAAACAAAGCTCTCCTTAAAGGTAGGAGGCATGTCATTCCCTGATATCAATCCTACTACACTGCCATGGTGTACTGGTACAATGACAGACACATAGATCAAAGGAATAGAATTGAGGACCCAGAAATCAGAACATCTATCTCTGGTCAACTGATTTTTGACAAGGAGATAAATCAGTTAAGTGGAGAAATGATAGCCTTTTTAACAAATGGTGTTGGTAAAATTGGAAAAGTATCTTCAAAAGACTCAAGCAAGATCCACACCTCACTCCATACACGAAAACCAAACTATAAACTTCATTAAAGAAAAGCTTGGAAGAATGCTAGAAGTCCTAACCCACAACATAAATAATCTTCCTAGTATCCGGAAAAATTTACAACCAGGAGAAGATAAAATAGATGAATGGGACCTTCTAAGAATCAAACCTCTATGCACATTCAAAAACTTCTCCAATAGGGTAAAAGGGGAAGCCACAGACTGGGAAAAAGTACTTGGAAATGGCATGTCAGATAAGGGACTTAAATCTAGAATTTATAAAATACTTGAGCACCACAACAAGATAAAGGTAAACAATCCAACTGAAAAATGGGCATAGGATATGAACAGACACTTCATCACAAAATACATTCAGATGGCCAGCAAGCACATGAAGAAATGTTCAAAATCGCTAGCTCTAAGAGAGATGCAAATCAAAACAGCTATGAGATATCATCTCACCCAAGTAAGAATTGCAAAATTTAACAGAACAGCATACAACAAATGCTGGCAAAATTGTGGAGAAACTGGAACCCTTATTCACTGTTAGTGGGAGTGTAAAATGGTACAACCACTGTGGAAGGCAGTGTAGCTCT